TTTTTTTTTTTTTTTTTTTTTTTTTTGGTACCGGGGATTGAACTCGGGTCCTTGTGCTTTCAAGGCAGGCCCCAGAACCACTGAGCTAAATCCCCGGCCCTACCATGATACAAATTTTAAAAGGAGAGGTTTAATTTAGTTCACACTTTCAGGGAATTTGGTTCATGGTTAGCAGGCTCCAAGGCAGGGATGGCAATGGCTTCTTGGTGGAGGAAAGCAGCTTAGTTCGTTCACAGCAGTCAGAAAGCAGAACAGGGGAGCAGCCCTGGAGATGAAGGAAGCAGGGACCGAATACAGTAACCAAGGCCATGCACGCTCCATGACCTACCCAGACACACCCAGAAGTGTGCTGCTCCTCCAGTGCCCTGGGTGGATTCCAAGCCCATTTAAGTTAATATTCTGCCGTAACCACAGTGATATACCACACTCTGTTAAGTGCCATTACAAATGATTCCTGGCTTATCATCAGAAGCAAGGAAAGTCAACAGGACAAAGCATTTTAAAAGTTGTTCAAGAAAACCAAACACTGAAACTTGTTTTGTACAGGAGACTGAACTAGTTTTTGCACGGGACTGAATTCCCAACTCATTTTTATTTTTTGCCATGCTGGCTTCGAAATTGGGACCCTCTTACTTCAGCCTACCAGAATGCCAAGATTACAGGAGTATGTCACCCAACCTAGCAAAGATTAAACATTAAAACCAGCTGCCTATCAACGTGAAATATATCTTCCACAGTCATTGTTAAAAAAAAATCACTATTAAGGGTTGGGAATCTAGCTCGGTGGTGCTGCCTCCTGCCTCACAAGCACAAGATCCTGAATTTGATCCCTGGTACAAAAAAAAAAAAAAGATAAAAAAGTCAGTGCATAGGTTTAAAAACTATATTAGCAGTGCATACTTCTGAAAAAGACCTCAAACACACGATATACAGGAAAATTATGTAAATCAATAAGAAAATAAAAAATGGCAAAAACTTAGCTACTTCAGAAATACGATATACATGAGGCAATAAGCGTGGAAAAGGGCACTTGGTATCATTACACATTAGGGAAAATAAAATAAATCCATTTGAGAGTTTCCTCTATATTGTCTCAGTACCCTGAGTGTAGTAGTAGGGTCAGTAGGAAATGACCCAATAAGATGAGGGGTGTGTGTGACTATTTTCAGGCAAAGGAATGATTAATTTTTCTAGAAGATTAAGTCACTAAACCTATGTGAAGAGAAGAAAGAGCAATAATGGGCCACAGAATTGAATACTGAAGCAAAGGTCAGTTTTTACTAAAAAAAGAAAGTTGATACTTATTGCGCATAATACATACGAAGCCCTGTATTATACATTTCAGAACCACATAATTTACATATAATTTATAATAGAATACTGAGGTATAGGTTTTATTTTCCCATTTATAAATGTTTGGGAAATGACACCCAACTCTCCCAAATTCTGAAGAGCATTTCTGACTTGTATTTTCAGTGAGGGTGCAGCATCAGAGAAGATCCTAAGGAGCAGGGTTCTGGCTACCGAGAAGCAATGTCACCAGAGCAGGGTGGCTGATATCTCAGTGATGGTGACATTTTTCCCAAACCCAGGTATAAATTTCATAAAGATCAATGGATTTAAAAAAACAACAAACCAGTTATCAGCTCTGAATGCATTAAGCAGTTTCTTCAAAACAAGTGTGCTGGGAAGTGTAAGTGTCTAAGGAGAAGATATTCCTGAAACACTCTGAGCGTGTTTGCATACAGAAACATTTGTCCTTTCCCTTCCCCTTTCTGTCTTTCATGCTTTCCCTCAAATATCTGGGTGGTGCACCATGGTATTTCCTACTTTTATACTGAAATGCCACCATCTTGTAAAACATGTCTAAATCTATTTTTCTTCCTTGAGAATCTCCTTGTGTCCAAAACTGAAGCAGCTGTTGGCTGAAGTGTTGCCACTGGGTCCCCAGCTAGAATATATGATATTCATGCTAGCCTACCTGTTGTCCTCTATTGCTCCTAGGTTAAATAAATCAGGGTGAATAGAGCAGCCATTGCCCAACCAAGGTCAGTGAACATCACGCTGTACTAATTATGTAGAAGAGGATCCAGAAGGACTGGCTGGTTGTTGATCTGTTACCCTGCCAGGTAGGAAGGTGACTAAGTTTGAAATGACAACTACAGTATATGGAGTGATTTGGGCTGGAGAATACTATCCACCTTACAATAAAGTTTGGCTTTGTTGGACAAGGTGGGAAAAATTTTCCTTGCTAAGTGAACTGTATCTATGTTTCTACCCTTTGCTGTGTAATAGAAATATCCTGAGAAGTGAGAGCCAGACTCATTGATGGGGGGAAATAAGCTATTTTAAGGTACCTTTCCATGTTTTATTATAGTTCCCAATCTCCCAATGTAACATCACAATGCACTGATTTTTCATTAACAGTTAAGAAACATAACGAATCACAAATTCCAGGATAGTCCATGAAATCACTGTATAAGTTACAAAATATATCTCTGAAGAATATGGTGAGCTTTAATTTGCGAATATTTTCCACTGCAATATCACAGTCTCCCAGCTCCACCGTGTTTTGTCATCAGGTAGAAAACCTAACATAGGGAAGTTATTATATTAGATGACTTACATATATGTCCTTATTTCATTTTTATTGGAACTCTTCAGAGTGAAATTATAATTCCCATTCAGAGATAGTGAGGGATGGAAACTCAATCTGACTTAGGTGTCTCGAGGCGGGGCCTTTGGGAGTTGATTAAGATCAGATGAGGTGATCAAGGTAGAACTCATTTGAATGAATATTGAGAGGGAGAGAGACCAGAGAATACACACACCTGCACTGTCTCTCGCCATGACACTCGGTGCCACCTCAGATTTCCTTTATAATGAGCCTGTTCTGTGGAAGTGTATTATTTCAAGACAGATTAAGTCAGGGAGGCACTACAATAAGTGCTTTAGATCCCAGACCTCAGCTGGATTTATTTGAGCTCTCTTGGGTAGAAATTCTATGCTTCAGTCATTTCACTCCTGTCACGTGAGTATTGAAAACATGAAATGTGTTCAGTATGAGCTAGAAATTAAATGTTAATTTAACCTAAATGTAAGGATGCCTATGTAGCTAGTAACTACCAAAAAGGACAGCTGACTTTTGAGGATGGTAAGGATGAACACCCTCAAGGTATAGGAGGCCAACTCAAAGATTAATGGGAGGTTATAATACCGGGTTGTAAGTACTATGGTAAGTCTGATTAAAGTTCTGTGAGAGCCTGTAGCTTTCCTCTAAATTAATTTTTACACTCAGCTACCAGTTTTCACTACATAATATAATAACAGAACATATCAGATAGACTAGGAAGCTATCCTGCCCCAGTGTTTTGCTTTATGGAAAAATTCATACAGGAAATGATATCAAATGATAAGACTTTTCTTATATCAATGGGTCTCCCATCACTGGGACATGTGCAAGTAAAATAATAGGACAATAAATAACAGTGGTAAATTGAATAATTTCCAAGGGAAACCTAGGTGACAAAGCAAAACATGTATTTTTTAAAATTTTCCATTTGAGGAGATTTCTCATCTAACAATAACTTGTGAGTTTCTTCACATTTATTGAAATATACAACACAATGCATTGCATAAGCACATGTACAAACACAAAGTTCATGGCACAGCTAGATTCTTGATGACAATAGAAATAGCAAAGAAGCAAGACTTTCTGTTTCTTCTTCATTTTTTTTTTTTTTTTTCCAGTACCGGGGATTGAACTCAGGACCTTGCTTGCAGGGCAGGCACGGTCACTGAGCTAAATACCTGGCTTTCTGTTTCTTTTTGATTACCCTTGTTTTAAATAGAAGGATCTATTTTAGAAGGCAAATCATTAATTCCTGAACAATATCAATGTCAATAAACTCTTTCCAAACATTGACACACATACCTACCAACCTAAATTTGAAATCAACTTTAAAGGAAATTGGTTAACAAATGAGCAATTTTCAATAATAGTCACCAGAGGGCAGCATCTGCAAGCACAGACTCTCAGAGTGGGTGGGCAAAAGAGACTCTCAAATTGAAGATACTGTACTGTATTTCTCTTCCTTTCCAACACACACACACAAAGTTTGCAAGGTAGACAATAACTGTTTGGAACTGAAGGCAGCTTTTCCGGGGAAATCCACTTAGGAGCAGTTGTAGTCAGCAGCTCTTTGTTGAGAAGAAGAAGCAGGGATGCAGCTCATCGCACCGCTGTTGATATTATGGATGCAGTTGCTACGTGAGATCCAGACTCCTTGGTTGTTTCCAGAAACTTAGTATAGTAGAAAATTATCTAAAGGCAGAAAATGGGCTTTCTGTGTTTGTTTGAGAAGCGATAATTGAATGAGAAGGGAGGAAGGGAGAAAGGAGAAAAATAGGCATGAAAAATAAGAAAGACCAAGACCGCTGTCGCTTAAGAATAGCAATCTAATCTATTTTATATGATGCCTTCCATTGTTTTTCTGTACAGAAATGAATGGGCAACAGGTAAAGCAATTTCCTCAATTCCAGCACATCTGGGAAGGAGAGAACTTCACCACATACTGCAATTCCTCGGGCATCTTAGTCAACTTACAGTGGTATAAGCAGAAGCCTGGAGGCCGTCCTGTCCTCCTGATGATCTTAACGAAGGGCGGAGAAGGGAAGAAACAGGAAAGGCTGACAGCTCGATATGGAGAAAAAAGGAAGGACAGCTCCCTGCACATCACAGCCACCCAGACAACCGATGCAGGGACCTATTTCTGCGCCGTGGCACAGTGCTCCCCAGGCACCTGCTGCTGATACCCAAACCCTTCCCTGAGAACCCAGAAAGAGCTTCTCATCTCTGCTCTTGTTTCAGAAGCTAGAGAAAGCTGGACTCACACTGTCTGCAAAGAGACAATGCATCTCTTCCCACTGCCATAGGAATGTGTGTAGAAATTTACTCACTGAGGCATGAAGGTTAGTAGATTTAATTTTGAATGCTCCATTCTTAGTGTTCTTCTACAGAGGTGTCACGGGGAATTCTAGCTATTTGCAGGAAGAATCAGTGGATTTTGAAAAGTAAAGATACAAATTTTCAAATAAAGGGTCTGAGAGCATCTTTCAATGGTGCCAAAGGTTCCCAAGCAGTTGATTGAAGATTTCAGCACTAGAGGAAAGGATTTTTGAAAGGTTTCTCCTTAAAGAAGTCATAAAGATAATAAATAAATAAGTAAAAGTTTGAAGGGATAATTTTTTTTTACCTTTTTCTATACTTTAATTACCCTTATCGCACTACTACGGCATCTGCTTTACATACATATATCTTTAACTTCATTTTCAATTTTTCAGCAATTCAAATACATAATATCATCTTGAGAGTACGAAGAACAAAACATGGAGGAAGACTGAGAAAAACAGGTTCCAGTGGTCTCTAGTAATTCTACAGACTTTCCTTTAGTGTTTTCTAGTGAAATTTTAAAACGTCCTGCCCCGGCTTTGCAAGAGTAGAGCTGCCTGGAAAGAGAGGCAATGAAAAGAATGGACCCATTCTTTAAAAAAAGTTAAGAAGGAAGTCCTGGAAAAACAATATATTTAGAAATTAAATATAAGGACCTGCCCCCTTTGATCAGAATATGCATATCCAAATAGGTGCTAAAGGAAGAAATTATATCCTCACAATTGTCCATTAACAAACAAAATTAGATAGGTAAGTTAATAATAACCCCTAAGGTGGAGAACTCTTCCCAGCACTGTAAAAGGAATGGCGGGGCAGAGGAAAAGGAAGAGCAGCAACTTGCTTTTAAGATACTCTTGCTGGTGGATGTCAAAGCCTGGGGCAAAACTTGACAGAAATAAAACTGTGACTCCCCAGCTTCCTTCATAACTGACAATATATGTAGTAGCAGCTTTCTGCTGAAGAGTCGGATGGACTGGAAAAGAAATGTTTATGGAAGGGGGTCAGATACCCAGGCAGCAAGGCAATGTGGGTACTGAATGAGATTTAAGTGCTTTCAACCTCTGTGCTCTACTGACCAGGCTAAAAACTCTAAACTCTTCAATGTTAAGTTAAATAAAAGGTTGGCTACGAATGAATGCTGTGCTTCCAATGCAGCAACCAGGAGGAGCTGCAAGAAATTCCACACTTCTATAATTTAGAAAGCACAGTCCTTTAGGCCTCCTCCACCCTAAAAACACCCACTGCTCAAAGATGCTGCACTATTCAACAAACAGCAAAGAACAGTGGCATTGCTGCCAACACAACCCTCTCATCTCAGGAGGAGACATGTAAACACCCAAGAGGGTAATGGAGCTACGCCCAGCACTGGATGTTCACTATTCGCCAAACAGGGAAAGCCTGAAGGAGGCTGAAGAGAAGAGACCCAGGACACACAGCTTTCTCCAAACCCACCTCTATCCATACTCTCTCTCTATATATTCTTTTGTTTTGTTTTTGAGACAGTATCTTGCTATGTAGTTCAGGTTGGCCTTGAAGTCACTCTGTAGCCCAGGTTGAAGGGATAAATATTTTTAACCCAATTTAAGCATTATGCAGTATATAACTATATCAAACATTGCTTAGAACCTCATTGATTCAATAAAAAATTATTATAGCTCACCTGGGTTCAACTGGAGACTGGCTCTGGATAACTGGGCTCCTCTCTCACTGCTCTGTCCCTGTGGCCCTGCATGTGATCTCTTCTCATGCCTCTCTCTCATGAAAGCTGCTGTACATACAAAAAGGGCTCAGGGAATCTAAAAGTGTTAAAGTGGAACTGATAGGCCATTTTAATTTTCAAGCCAATAATTGCCATGATGTTAGTTTTGCTTCATTTTGTTTACTGAAGTGAGCCATTTGGGGAAAAAATGAGAATCAAGATCTTTCACGTAAGGTTACAAGATCCCAATGATAAATACAACTGTATTGTATACTTAAAAAGTACCAATAGATTCAATAAAATAACAGTAACAATAAAAATAAATAAAGTGAGCCATAGAGCAAGACTGCATTCAGTTTGGAAGAGATTACATGAGGACATGAGTTTCACTGGGGGTAACTTTGGATACTTCCTATTACAAATATTAGGGTACACACATTGCCTATGACAAGCAGATACTCCAGTGCCAACAGAGCACAATGCCCACTCTGTGCCTATCAAAGCCATGTGAATTTGAACTCTCAAATGTCACTCATTTCCATTTCTTATAGCTATTCTTGCTACTGTCCTAGTATAGGTATTTAGCATGCTTTTGAATGACTGTAGTTATCTACTAATTTTCTTCCTACCTCTCATCTTACTCCTTGAGTCCAACATTAAAGTAAGATAGTTACAGCTGAATAACCAAGTAAAAGTTTTTATATCTTTTTCATGAAATTTTTTGTAGTTTTGGACATCATTATGATGACAGTGTGATAATGTGTGGAACTAATTCAACACATTAAAATAAAAGCAGTATTGAATTATTTGTAAAACTGAATGAAATCGCATGTATTACACAAAGAAAAGTGCACATGGGAAAACACACACCTACAGTATTTAAGTTAATTTTTAAGAGTACCTTAACTATGGTAAGTTTTCCATCCGTTATAAAATTTCTAAGATATCACAGAGTTTTGATATAAAGACATTATTTTTCTCTAAGAAGGACATTTTATTGAGAAACACTTACATATATACAATTCAGCCACAAGTGCACATCTTTTTTCCAAATTTTCAATTCACATAGTGCCAGTATGTCCATATCCATATGTATACCTTTTTATAGTACTGTACGTAGCTAAATTCATGTATGCACTGTAGAGCTCAAATTAGGGTAAGCAGCATTTCAATTTTCTCTGATACTTGCCACCTCTGTGTGCTGTAAATATTTAGACTCTACTTAGTTAATTTGAAGTCCACCATAAATCTTTACAGACTATAGTTTTTCTACTTTACAACAGAGCACTGTTTAATTTCTCCTATTAACTGTTTTGGTCAGCACTGTACTTTCACTTTCTCCTTCTGTTAGTCAGCTTCATATCACTGTGAAATAACATTTGATATAAACAACTTCGATGATTAAAGGTTTATTTTGACTCATGGTTTCAGAAGGTTTCAGTCCATTTCCAACTACCTTAATTGGTTTTAGTGCTATGGTTACGAAGAAACAGCATGATAGAAAAGCATGGCAGAAGAAAGGAGAGAGAGAGAGAGAGAGAGAAAGAGGAGACAAGAGCAATACCTTCAATGAAACATACCCGATGACCTATTTCCTCCAATTGGGCCTAATTAGCTATGAAGCCATCAGTGCATTAATACATCGATATAGTTCATGCCCACATGATCCAGTCACCTCTGTGAGCTTCACTGTGAAACATTACTATTTTGGGGGTCAAGCCTTCAACACATGAGCCTTTTGGAGACATTTTAGACCTAAACCACAGCATCTTCTCAGTCTCTGGTGACCACTATTTCACTCTCTTCTGAAATAAATTTGCTATCATAACTCAGTAAGAACATGCGATGTTTGCCTTCCTGTGCCTGGCTTATTTTGCATAGCGTGATGTCCTCTAGTTTCTTTTACTTTTCTGAAAATGGCAGAATTTCGTTCCTTTTTAGTGGTTTGATGGTAATCATTTATGGACACTTTGATTCCAATACTTGATATTGTGAAAAGTACTGTACTAAATATTGAGTATAGGGATCTCTTAGATAAAATTATTTCATTCGTGCTGGATAAAAACCCAGTGAAAGGACTGAAGAAAAAAGTTTTTTTTTTTTATCCTGCTATACCATTTCACCCCAATACAGGTCCTCTCAAAATATTCTGTTTCCTTTTCTTCAAGTCTTTCCCACTTCTTAGTTTTTCCTATTTTTAAAATTTAATGTATTTTATCAGTACTTCAAAGTAGAAGGTAAATCACAAGCACTGCAGAAAAGAGGATCATTCTAACCACCTAAGTAATTCCGGTAAGAACTAAAATCATCCTTAGTAGCTGAGAAAGGAATCATTTCATTTGTCAAAATATCTGCCAAAAATAACCTCTGAAAGCTAAAAATTATCAGTATAATTATGATTTAGTTTAGATTTTTGTATCAAATTTAAGCAGAGCATAGCCTAATATTTTATGGTTTTCTTAATTGATTATTTCATTATTATATTCTTATAAAAATTAAGTTTATCATTTTCTTATTAAATACATATGATTAGCTCTTGTTCTTTGACATTGTCATTTTCATCCGATGCCATGCACCAAAACAATAACTGGATTCAATTTTAACTGGACTTTAGAGTTGGAGTTTATTGGCTTCTTTCTTTCTCCAAAATTCCCCTGCCATGTGGGAAAGCAAATGAAGGGCCATTAACATGGTAGTAAAAAGAATTTTACCAAGATCAGAATGAAAAAAGAAAGGACTTTTTCTTTCCTTTTTTCAGATCAAAGAACACAGTCAAAAAGGAGGAATGCAAATTCCCAAAAGAGGAATCACAGTGTCAGGGTGAGAGATTGGGTTTTTTTTTTTTATATAAATATTTGAGTTGTAAGAAAAAAGGTTTAGGCAGCAAACCTGGATATCTCAAGAAATTTTTATCTGGGTCGTGTAGTTCTTGCTGCTCTTTTAGGAACACCTGTGTTGTATGTTAAAGTGGAAAATGAAGACTATTTACCATAGTGTTACAAAAGCCCCTTTAGATTCAGATAAGGATATCTATACAAACCAACTTCTTGAGAGAAGGTAGGTAAGGGTTCATTTGGAGGAAAGAAAGGGACTATTGTGGCTTGGATCTAAAGCGTCCCCTCAAAGTCTTATGTTCTTGGAAAATGTTTGGATCTGTGGGGC